CTGAAACGAGCCCGTGGGGATTTATGGCTTCCCCAGCATCCCTAATACCTGATTGCAATTGCTGAGGTTGTCTCTGTGTGAGATTAATCAGAATTTGCAGCTATGAGGTCATTTGAGAACGATTTATTTTCCTTAGAAATAGAGCAGATTTCCTGTTTARTGTGTAATAATAATAGTATGTTACTGGAACACCTGGCTGGGGTCACATAAAGTCAAGCATCAGTGTTTTGTGTTTATGAAGGGCAAAGTTGCTTTTGATGCAGTCATTCCATCCTCATTTCAGAGCAGGCTTTTTCCCCCTTTGAACACTGCAGGAGAATTTGTCTTGGACTTTATTGGGATCTTGCAGCTCATGTGAATTACAATTGTTCTGGCTGGAGTTGTTGGTTGGGAAACTTTGTGGTCAGAGCTCCATGTTSAAGACCACTGTTGTTCCACTGGAGCCTTAAAAAAAAAAGCTGCTTCTTGGATTAAAGGCCAGGGATTGGGAGAGAAGAGGGTGAAGCAAAAGGAAATGGTGTACACTTGCAAATTTTGCTCATCACTGGTGTTTCTGYGCTGTGGTGTTTTTCCAGAAGCATGAGGATCTTAGCCATATTTGAAAAGATTCCAATAATGAAACTTAAGGGTGACCACTGCTTCCTCAGCGACTTTGAGTTTGGATTATATTCTCATGGTGATTTTTCTGGCTGACTCTACTTACKTCTTTATTTTAAAAAGTTACATCTTAAAACATTAGTTTCTTAATTGTTACCATCCTTGCAAAAAAAAAAAAAAATAGGAGAAATTGCTTTCAAAGAAATATTTTGGGATAAATGGGTGATGGTGGTAGTTAGCTGGTRGTTTTGTTTTTGTGTAGTGAGTTTTCAGTTGATGCTTCTTTTATTTTTCTCTCTTATGGCATCTCTGAGAGTGAGCATCTGGCAGGGAAAATGAGAAGTGGTCTGACAATTCAGGTGGCTCACTTCGAACTATATTGGGATGGGGATGTTACTATAAAAGAAAATGTATTTATATAACATGATATTGTTATTAAAATCTGTGTGTTTTTACACCACCTTTGGTTTAGCAGTTGGTTGAGCTTTTTGCTGGAAGGATGTGTGTGCTGGAGATGATAAAACAGGTGCTGAAGGAAACTGAGGCTTCTGGTGGCCACGCTGTTGTGATAACGGCGCTGTCCGCAGAGCCATCCCTTGCTTTCTGCCCTGCTGTGAAGTACATGCTCTTTTCTGCRTTGTATTCTGTCACAGGAGGAATTTGAAGACACGAATGTCCTCTGCTTTTTTAAATACATCTGCTCTGAGAACTGGAGGCAAAGAAAATGACAGGTYCCAGGCAGCAGTCGCTGTGTTCATKTTTCCTCTCTATCATTTAGAAAATCTTCTTTCTAATAAAATTACCAACTGCCTGACTCCCTCTACTCTTTGCCCAGTTTCCCACCATCCCCTGAGTTACTGTAGCTGCAGTTTTAGCTGGTTGGATAGACAATGTGAGTTACTTTCTCTGTAAATAACCTTAGTCAAGGTTATTTAACAATAACAATAACAATAACAATCTTTGACAATAACCTCTGTCAAAGATTGAAGAATCTGTGTRGGCATAGCATTTGCAGGTAAATCCCGTGCTTCAGTTTCAGCTATTGTTTCAGCTGATGAAAAGCTCTGAAGAAAAGATAGCAAAATAAAATCATACCAACCTTCTTCTTTAATTTAGAGCATGTGAAGAAATTGCATTTCATCAATAATATCTCTGTTGGATTTTGACAGAAAAAAGTAAGTAAAGGGATTATAAGGAGGGATATAGAAAGGTCCTGTAAAATTCCAGCAGATGCTGTGTGTTCTGCTCATATGATGCTGAGTTTTGCCCTTTGGCATCACTTTTCGTAGTGAGTATCTGAAAGTGTCTGTGAAAATAATCTCTACCCTTTGTACAGGGGTTATGTGCTTGTCCACTGTTTATAACTGCTGTGGTTTTAAAAATATGTTTTAAAAAATAAAACTGAAAATCATATTAGGAGATGTTGTAAASCTTGAGTTAGAGAAATAAATGCTTTCAGCTCTGTTGGAGGAGGATTTTTGGGAGAGTGGTGCAGCTGGACTGCAGCCTCTGTCCACGAGGTGGCCACAGCCCCGTCCATCTCTGGCCACCCTCGGATTAATCGATGTTCCTTGCTGGCAAAAATACAGAATGAGACTCTAAATATAGTATGTCCAATGTAATTTCAGTGCTATTTTAAGCACTTAGTCTGAAACGACTTGGGAGTGATAAAGAAAACTTCACAAASTATGACTGATAGGAAATTTTAATTTTGTTGGGAAAACTGGGATATATACACCACAGTACCGTACCCTCCCTTGTTAGAATGTGAAGTGGCACGTGAGGGAGAGGAGGAATTCTACCTGGCTGTGTCTATTTTGTCTATTTAAGCAAGCAAAAAGGGCATTATTTCACCAAGATATGTAAAACACATTGGGTGGGTACCTTTAATGCACTGGCAGAAAGAGGCACCTGGCAGCCCTTCCCAGAATTACTGAGTTAGCTCTTGTGCTCAGTGGCACCCAAAATCACCTTCTCTGCATTACTTGGACAGGGGCTTGCTTTAAAAGTCAGGTGYTTTTAGGGAAAGCTTTACAGATCCTGATTTAAAACCAGCTAYAGGAACTGCTGTGTAAGTAGCCAATGTGTTTAGCTTGTTGATGTGTCACCTGCTGGGYAGTGAATTACATTTATCCTGTAGTTTATTGCATTTATCTACATTAGAGCAGTAATCGTGGGCAGTGTAAGTTAAATACCTTCTGCTGGGTCAGGGAATAGGAACCTTTGCCTTCCCGTTGCTGTGCTCTGCTCAGCTGTTCCCTCTGCTGCTGCTCATCTCTGCAGATGAAGTCAGAGCTGAGGGATGCTTTCCASACACGCATCCCTTTAAGCAAATGTTTATCTCTAATTTACCAACTTTTTTTTTCATCAAACTCCTCAGTGGGTCAGTACAGCACTCCTGTGTGCTGCAGGTGGAATGCAGGAGTCAGCCCAAGCCTTCCAAAAGGGCTGCGTTCTGAGGAGTTAAAGAGAATAATTCAATGATGTGGTCATTTTTCATATGTACAAGGTAAAAACTTTGTGATTAAACAGGAACATAAGCTCTTGTTCTGCATACGGTTTTCTGTAACTTATAACTACAGAACTGCTTATCTAAAACATTTTCAAGATGTTCTGTTACATCTTAGTCCCAATTACGTACAAAAATACTGGAAAATACAGGAAAACGTAAGCAGACATAATGATTTATGAAGACTGAAAAATTCAGCTTTAATTTTAACATCAGATACTGACTCTTGCCTGGCTGGCCAGCTTTGACAGGAGTTGAGGGTTCCCTTTTTTTGGCCTGGGAGAGGTGGACCTCCAGGTGGAGGAAGAATGTGTAACACAGGGATTGTATTTCCATTCCATAAATTCTGTAACTCCCAAGGTGTTATTAACTACTCAGACATTGCATGGTCTGAGGACATAGTTGCTGCATTTCTGTGCCTAATGCTTTCAGGTGGAGATGTTGAGGCAGTTCCCCGCTCAGAAACAGGGAGAGCTCAGTAATGGAGCAGTTGGATACCTGAAGTGACCCTGTGGCTGCAGGTGCCCAGCTCTGATGGGCTGTTGTGGGTTTGGAGTCTGATCCATAGCTAGTGCTCCTGCATGTTTCACTAATAAAATCAAGTTTGTGGCAACTTGGGGGATTAAAATGAGATTGGACTGTGTGAAACGAGTGCTTTGTAAATGTGATACATATCCCRGCCTTCTGTTTAATTTTCATGGGATTTAGTAATGACATTTTAAAAAAAAGAAATCAGAGTTTTATTGGTTTTACATGGTCTGCAATTACGCCTGACCTTTCATTTGATACAACAGTCTATATCCGTTATATTGCTAAACATGGACTATTTTAAGCCAAAGAACTTTTCTGAAGTAAATCCATTGTAAATTCTGTGGCCAGCATTCATATTGATTTATCTTCTGTAAACACTGGATAAAYGCAGCACTTGAAAATTCAGAACATACTTTCCAAGGCCAAGCTGGAGAGACTGCTCTGTGGTGTATAATGATTTTGTTGTGTGTGTATTTGACTCTAACAGCCCACCTGTTCAGGACAGTAAATTAAGTGATGAATAGCTCCAGTGAGCTGTGCCCTGCCATGTGGTCTGCACCATSAGCACAGATATTTTTGTGACTGAAGAGGATTCTGTCTGGTGAGAAGTTTAAACAGCTGTATCTCCTAATTACAGCTTCTATGTAAAGTCCAGTTTATAAAGCAAAATAATGTTCATGTTTTAATATTTTTGTTTCTAGTGGATGCCCTGATGTGATGCTGCCTAGTGGTAGTAGGAGGGAGAGATCTCTGAAGCTTTATTGTTTTCATCTTTGCCAAACAGTATTTTGGRGTGATTTCTGATGWTCCCTTCAGACATGGACTGGGCTGMACAAGAGAGGCAGTTGGATGSTGTAGTTTGTAGTGGGGGTGCCAGCTAGATCTGAGGTGGATATGAAAGAGTTTTTCCTCTCTAAACATAACCCCTTTGCTGTGAAAAGGTACTCTGGTGGTTCTCTGCACCCCTAGATAGTAGCTTAGGTTTTTGCTCTTTTGAAAAATTTCTTCTTTAAAGACATCTTAGAAGGTTTCAATGGTTTCTGACCTTGGATGAGCAGAACTGCACTATTTGTCTCATTCCACATGTTGTTTATTACTATCCATTCACATAAATAATATTGTCGGCGATATTTTTAATGAATCTCTTTTTTTCAATTCAGTGTTTATGCATCAGTTGAACTTCACTCTTCTCACTCACAGCTCAAGCATGGACAGGGTTCTTCAAGTCTGTGCATGTCYTGACTATCTATTAATTTGGATTTGTATCATTCTGTGTAACTTACTGCAGAATCTGAAAAGTAGCGAGTGATTAGATGTGAATGAAGTTGCTTATGTTTGKTTTTCTTTTTCCCTTTCTTTTTAGGACTTAAATACTATCTACTCTTTCCTTCATGGACTGGACATACTCTCGCATTTTCGGGAACATCAGCTAAGGTGAGGTACTCTGCAGTTAATGTTGTTTAGCACACTTCTATCTGTGACTCTTGTGGAGATAATGCAGAGTTTTTGTCTGCCTGCACTTTGAGGTGGCAGAGCACTGGCCAAGTCCATTGCTGAGTTAAGTCACTGCAGTAATTTGGCTGGGAATCYAAACTAATTAGCTTTTCTAAGAAGGAAGGCAGAGCTGACTCGCAGTTGCCTGCAAAGGACTGTGTAGACAGTGCCCTGTCTTAACTCCAGATTACAAAAGCTTTTTAATGCTTCAGACATTCAGATGATCTCAGAATCCATAAAATGGAAGGCCAACAAAGCACAAGAAGTGCGTTGGAAGTATTTTAGTTCTTTCAGTTCTGTTGCTATGGGTAATTCCAATGTGTGGGAGTGATTTAAACACTTAGAGAACATGCTGTATATTATCTGTTTGGATAATGAAGAACACCGTAATAATTTGAATTTTCTGGTTAAGCACATCCTTTGTTGAGAACAAAAAAAATAGTTTAATTTGAGGTCTTAGAGCCTGAAAATCATTCTACTGAAATGTGGTGATTAATGGCTTATGATCTTTGGGGATTAAAATTGAAATTAAACTTCTCTTCCTCTTCCCTCAGAATAATGTCGTCCAGTGCCCGCTATGAGAGGTACAAGGGCAACCAAGTTCTTTTCTGGTGAGTATATAGCACTTATTGGGGTTCTTCAGCAGAAATGTGAGCAAACCCAATGTTTTGCATGTTTAAATGTGTCATTTGCTTTTCAGTCATTGTAAACAATCAGTTAAAAGCTTTGTCAGAGGTGGTTGTGGCAGTAATTCGGTGTTGATGTTTGAGAGATGCCCCTGAATTTCCATGCTGAGAGATGCCCCTGAATTTCCATCCCAGCTCCACAGCAGCAGAGGGGCAGTGTGTGTTTGTAGCAGTGACATTGGGTGGCTGAAAGGCAGCAGAGGGAGCCCTGGTGACACTCAGTAGGTGGCACTGTCTCCCTGGAGCTGGCACTGCCTGCACAGCTCCTTCTTGGAGCAGCCTGTACCAGGGAAGGATGGAGCTCAAACACCATCTCTTTACATCGCAAAAATTAATATCTCAGCTTACAGTTCTCTAGGTTCTAGCTGGGAGGCAAATATACTTGTATTTTCCTCCTATTTTAGCATTGCTTATGGTATATTTATCCTCTCACAGCTAATCCTAGCTTTCCCAGCTTCCAGCCATTCTGAGTCTAAATAGATGCCAGAGGTATCTCACTGCACACTCCTGCTGCAGTATCAGGTCAATATCTGTGTGTGGAGGTTGTTTGCTGTCCTGTRTTTATAGCCTTTATGTATACTTTCACTGGAATAAAACTTTTTCACTAAAAATCAATAATTTCATTTTAATAAAGTAAATTTTTTAAGCTTACTTAAATGTCAAATTGTAAAGTATAAGAAACATTCTTTATGAAAGTGTTAAGAAAGAAAATCCTGGTCCAGTTAAAGTTCACGAGTTCTTACATATCGAACTGGTAGAGTGGTAAATCATTATTTTGCTACAATAATATTTTGGATAACATATTTCTAAGGTGTTGTAAGGAGAAGTACATATCAGTGATTTCTTTTCTTACAGCTCAGAAACTATTGCAAGATGCTGGTATATCCTGCTTTCTGGATCTGTGCTCATGAAGGATTCAATGTTTTTACCACCTTGCAGGTATGTGCAGTTGTTGTTGAAGGCAAGTTGTTGTTTTTTTTTTTTTAATAAATGCTTTTGATATGTTGCTGTTACTGTAATTTTAAAAGCATTAAATTTTTTTTTTTACTTTTTTTTTCCTAAAGTTTGGTAGTGAAAGAAATGTTAAGCTAATTYAATTTAAATTTTCTTAGACTTTTTCTGCACGTAGAAATTTCTGTGTGAAATACTATACTGAATCTAGTTTGGCTTTTTAAGTTGATAAGAGAATTTGTAGTCAGTTTATTACCTTGGGCTCCCTTTGAATAATTTGTGCCGTGTGACTGTTCTGGACAGAGTTCCCCGTTTWAAAAACATGACTGCAGATGACATTGCATCTGCCATTTGGTTGGGGGCTGTATTTAATGCACAGATGATTTTTATGTGAAGCAAGCAGGGGCCAGCTGTGGGTTGTGCCAGGAGCCTGGCTGTGTGTCAGGGTCAAGGCACAGCGAGCACTGACAGGCTTTCACTGGAGCACTTTATTAGACTTGAGCTGGACTTGGGCAAGTAATACCCTGAGTAGCCACAGTAGTACTCTGCTTGACCCCGTCCATCACTCAYAAGTTTTATTTCACCGTGTTTCACTGGGCTCAGCGGGAGCTGACTGTGAGTGGATGGACTTAATGTCAGCTCCAGCTCAAATACATTTCCATGAATTTCTGGTAAGTGCTGGTAAGAACATATAGGACTGAATTTTTCAACTCAGTTAACTGTAGATTGGATATTAAACACTTCATGCTCCTTGAGTGACTGAAGGGCCTTGAGTGGATCCAGAGAAACTGTGACTACTCCMCCCCTGGAAGTTTTCAAGGGGCTTGGAGCAGCCTTAYCTAGTGGAAGGTGTCCCTGCTTATGGCAGTGGGGTGGAGTTAGATGTGATTTAAGGTCCCTTTCTATTAAAATCATACTGTGATGACTSAGTGATAAGTTGAGGAGTACCAGGACTGTGGACATGGTGTATTGGAATTCGCATAAAACTCTAAAATTGTTTGGCAAAACTTACAAGTAAGTCACCTACAAGCACTGCTCAAGTTTCTTGTGCTTTGAAAGCAAAATAGGTCTATTCTAGCTAATTCACAAGATTAGATTTATTATGGATAATGAGGAAAAATAGCTGCTAGATGGGGAARGGGTCACAGAATTCTTTTAGATGGAGCTGCTGGCAGGTTACAGCTTACAAAGGGTGGTGAGATGATGTGGAAAGGAAGACAATGCACTCCTGCTGGATATCTAGGGTGTTCAGSTCACTTSCATTTCATTTGAAATACATTCACGTTAATACATTATATTAAATATAATGCTTTTTTTTTCCTTCAGTAAAGTGGGATAAACTTCAGTTACTTTCCCTGATTTGTATAGTTCATCTGTCACATTTCTGGTTGAGAGAACTGCAGTCACCAGACATTTACAGGCTAGTTTAATATGAAACAGTGCTTTGGATAAGTTAGTAGTATTCTTTCATAATTGCAATTAGCAGCATTTTAATTACTTTTTAGGTAATATTTAGTGTCATACTTTATTCTTTGTCCCCAATCAAGTTCTTGATTATGTGAGTCATTCTGGAAGGAGGCTTAACTACAAATCTCTGAGAAAACACAATATTTTCTTCATTCTCATTGCCTCAGGTATTGCAGAGTTGTTCTGTGTCACAGGAAACAAAGATAAGAACTTGCTGCTGTGTTCTCTCTGCCTGATGAGCATACGATCCTAGACTTGCAAGATGTTTGTGAAATGAACTTTATGGGAGAGTGAGTTGTGTGGGATACTGCTTTACCTGTGCTGTTTTTATTTTCACAGCAGGAAAGTGGTGGTCAATTGTAGGGAATGAAGTGAAAACCACGTTTCCACATTTGAGGTGTTCTGAGGYTGCTGAAGGAATGGAAACATCCCTTTAGCCACTTGGGTTTCTGGTAGGCTTAGTGCTGCCCAGACATGGCATCAGATGGAATCTTCCCTGTTTGCCTTATTGAATAGGGTATAAACATAGCAGCGTGTGAGCAGAGGTGGCTGAGGATAGAGACAGGTGTCTGCTGCACAGGAGGGATGCAGGAGACTGAGGATGGCTTTGAGATGTCCAGGGGGTAAATGAATGAGGACCAAAATAGAATCCTTAATGGGAGGAAGGTGGTAACTGTCAAAGATGAGGAGTTAGGCTTTAATCTGGAGACCTCCTAGAGTTCTAAAAAGGTCAAGAGCCAAGTTTGAGTARTTGTCATTCTGGAAGAATTGGGTATCTGGAGGCATTTTGTAAAACAGATCGTAGCTAACAAATAGATTCTAGTTTGAAACTCAGTCCCTGTGTGCTTCATAACAGCTCCACTCACCAGTTACCTCTTGGTCAGGTCGCTAATTTCAGCTTCATATTTTCCTCTGGAACATTTGACTTTGTCTTTAAAGAATTTCTGTACATTTTAGGATCTTTTCCAGAATACTGGAACAGTATTTTATAAAATAGTTTGCTTTGTAAAAGAAGGATATCAGTGTTTTTCTGATAGAGGAGGTTYTTTTTCTGGGTAATAGTAGGGTTTAAGACCACTGTTCTTTGTAAAGGTTTTGGGTTTTATTTTTTTTATGTTGCAGTTGTTTTTCTAAATTCAGCATTGCACTAGAAACTAACTGGCCAGCAACTTTTGTTGAGCAATTACATAAGAAGCTGCTGTTGCAATTCATTGTTAGTGAGATCCTTGCAGTCTCYGTAAATAATCATTGCCACTGGCAGGTGATGGTGGTTTAATGACTGTTTCCTGGTACATCCTTACAATCCYTGTCCTTTTTCTGTCATCTGCCCCGTGACTGCCTTGAAGGATAGGAAGAGACTGTAGTAGACAGCTAAAAACTTAACCTGGAGAAGGTGCTGTCCATGCTTTTTGCATGCCCCCTGTCATCCACTATCTGTCAGAGCTTCAGGGAAACCTTCCTTTTTTTCTGTGGAACTCTTCGAAATAAATATTCTATAGAATCCAACTGGAAGAGTCTTGGCCCCACAAAAGCATAAGGAGGTGGGCAGTCACTGCTTTATTAACTTTGCCAAAGTATTTGAGTGAGTAAGGGTGGAAAGTGGGGTTCACTCTGCTTGAAAAGGGCTTTTTCATTGACTTGGATGAACTTGTATTCAATTTGTAATTCAGAAGTTGGTTTAAAAATTGGAGGAGTAAAACTTGCACCCAGGCATGATCAATCTGTTCAATATTCTGACACTGATGCTCATGGTGAGAAAAGCCCTGCAAGATTTTTAAGGTAAGAGGCAGATCAATCAGTAATACCAGGTACAAAGATGGCAYAATCTTGATTATCCTATTGCCTGGAGAATGGATTTGTCAATAGATTTGGCGTAGGAGGAGTAGAATTTGCTTCTAACATGAAAGCACTGGGTAAAATAAAAGAACAGGATCGACGGATTTGTGGAAGGAAAATCATGTCAGCAAGTTAAAGAGGTTTTGTGTTAACCTTGCTTGTTAATGAAGATAATTCATGTGAACAGGATATTTGAAGGAGATTACTCACAGCAAGATTAGCCATAGGAGATATAGCAAGGGCCTGGAGGAACTTTTGAAGCCAATTATGTGGCTGACAGCCTCCTACAGCTGTGAGAATTGAACCTCCAAGGGAAAAATACAAACTCTTGAAAGATTCAAGGTGTAGTCTTACTAAAACAAATACTTTTCTTTTCCCAGCCCTTCCAAAAATATTTCAGGTGGAGAAAAYTGGAGTCATTGTTCTACTCATGTGGTGCATTTCTTGGCTAAAAACAATACTTTATTCAACATAGCCTTGTGGTTGTTGGTATCTTTTAATGAGAGTTGYGGATGCATCAAGGACTCAATAAGCCATTTCTCTTTTTATTTAGTAAAAGGAGTAGACACAAATGCTTAGATCAAGAAAATTGTGATCATGGAAGAAGAACTCTAGTTTTGCATCATGAAACAACAGCTTGGGTTGAAATTATTTTAGCTTGTTTTGTATTAGTATTTGTGAATAATATGTTACTCTATTTTGCAGCTTACTGGGACTGTTAATAGTGTATGTATCTATTCTGTGTGAAGTACCAGAAGCACAGAAAATACTGTGCTTTTGCAGGACTGTCAGTGTTGGAAAATAAGAATGTGAGGTTAAAGATTTGCAATTTGAAGAATTTAAAGATTAACAAAATGCCGTAATTTAAACTCTGATGTATATAACTTTGTTCTCAAATGTATTTATACCTCAAATGTACCATCTAAAGTCAGATCAGTTTTACTTCTGAAGCCTGTAGTGCTGCTTTCTTGTGAATTTGTTCCAGTCACTGCAAAATAAAGAGTGGCTCAGAGCTCCTGCACTCCCAGCTTCTGCCAGTGCAGGGTGTACAGGTCTTTTTCTCCCACTGATCCTTCCTTTCCAGGTTTAACTTGAATCTGCTTTCTGCTCAGACTGCACCTGYTGTATCCAAGCTCTGTCCCAGTGCTCCTCACCCTCTGCTCTTTATCCCTAATTTCCATCCCAGTCCTGGTGTCTGGAATGTGGACAGTGCTTTTCCTCCCATCTCCAAGATCTGGATCCATGTGTGCCAGTCCACTGCTGCCATACAGTAAACTTAAATTCTGATAAACTGGCAGTTGCCAATAAGGTTCTGAATTKTGATAATTGTTGCCATTTTTGGGATTTAAATTTTTTACAGTGTGACTGTAAAAATTGCAGTCACAATACGATACTCTGAGTGTCTTTGTTTCACACGGGAAAGCTCTTCCTAGGTAACTGTTGAGGATTATTTTCACTGCTCTCTTAAAGGGAGCTTCAGGCTTACATCCCTGTGCTTATCAAGACTGAGAGATTTAATACTCAGCACAGGATAAAAGCAGTGGTTGTTCAGTGAATTTGTGTCTCTGGATGAGGTGATGTTTTCCCTGGGTGTTTCTGTTAAGTGGTGGCTGTAACTTGTAGCATTGCCTGGCAGCCAGTAAGTGAACCAACAACTTGGGAATGCTACCAATAAATGTATTTGT